GGAGCTCACAGCCCCACCGCCCAGAGCACTGGCGGCATAGCGAGCTCAGACTGAACCCTCCGCCAGCTAGCTGTCTCCATGTCCCGATTTCAGCTAGACGTTGGGAAAACTGAGTGAATGAGTTGTCAGTCTGACAACACAGATGCAGAGCGGAGCGTCAACAGCATACTGATGACTCTCCAACCCAAACTTCTCACTGTCTTCCCGAGCTGTTTCACATTCTCCGAACAGAGGGGAGAGCGAAGCCCACAAGATGGATGAACAGTGGTCCTGGCTCTCCAAGAGAGAGAAAAGAATGAAGACACTCATGTACAACTCCTACCTATCTCTGCCCAGGTTTGCAAGTGGGTCAACAAAAGCTCAAGATCAAGATTATCGAAGGCTGCTGTCAGATCTAAAAAGAATCAGCACAGACACCTGATCTATGTCCATCACCGGAGGCAGATGGTCAACTAATGAAACCAGCACAGCCTGTGCATCCTACCCAAGGGCAAAGCTCAGGGTGTAAAGGATCGGGGAATACACTCGACTCTAAAAGGTGCCAGAGCTGCCTTGCTGTAACCTTCTGAATAATCTTTCCAGCGCAAAGCAACTGGGCAATAACTGGAAAGAAGCATGTGATTTATGAACTAGGTACTACAGGACCTGGGAGTGTAGGGTTTAGTAGGACAGTAGAACCAAAAGCGCTATGGTTCTTCCTTGCTGTAGTTTGGCCGAACAAGTCTACTTGCAAGAAAATGTAATGGTTCTTCCCCACGTTAGTTTAGCCGTCTGGGAGTGTTTGCAAGAGAAAACATTCCCCTCCCCCTTACTTTAAATGAGGAGGAATGAGAAAGATACATGGCCTCAGAGGAGGTGGGTACTAAAAATATAGTCCAGATATTGATTCTGAATGAAAACAGTTTGCCAGTGATGTAATAATGCTAATCCAGGGGTAGGCAACCTATGGCACGCGTGCCAAAGGCGGCACACGAGCTGATTTTCAGTGGCACTCACACTGCCCAGGTCCTGGCCACTGGTCCGGGGGGCTCTGTGTTTTAATTTAATTTTAAATGAAGCTTCTTAAACATTTTATAAACCTTATTTACTTTACATACAACAATAGTTTAGTTATATATTATAGACTTATAGAAAGAGACCTTCTAAAAACGTTAAAATGTATGACTGGCACGCGAAACCTTAAATTAGAGTGAATAAATGAAGACTCGGCACACCACTTCTGAAAGGTTGCCAACCCCTGTGCTAATCTTTTTTTCCATGCTGTGTTGTAGACGTGTTGGTCTCAGGACATTAGAGAGACAAGGTGAATGAGGTAATATTTTATTGGACCCAACTTCTCATGGTGAAAGAGACCAGCTTTCAACTTAAACTGAAGAGCTCTGTGTAAGCTCGAAAGCTTGTCCCTCTCACCAACACAAGTTGGTCCAATAAAAGATATTACCTCACCCACTTTGTGTCTCTAATATTTTTTCCACTCTTTCTGATATCTGAAAGAGAAATTCCTCCAACAGATGCACGTTAACAATTTATGCAAAAGTTTCAGACACCTCAGGCATTAATCATAAGCCTCGGAAGGCAGGAAAAAAAATATCTCCATAAAACGAAGACTTTTTAAACTTCTTAAACTGGCATAAAGGAAAAGTAAATCAAATTATGCAATTCTCATGAAGGAAAGAGAGACTATAAATATTTGAGCAATAAATTAATGGGGGAAAACCATTAGAGAAGCGAGAGAGAGAGCATATTACAACATGGCACCAGCTGCCAAAGGGATGCGATGGGAAAGTAGCACTCAGAACCAGCTACGAGCAATGCTTTCTTTGCAAACGGAGCCCTTTTTAGCAGAAAAGATGTGTGCTACATGCAAAGTTGGGTAAAATGCCAGTGACCTATATTTTTGTTTCTCCAGCTCTTTCAATTTGGAGCTGGTTGCTCCCAGGTCAGCCCACCTATGGGAATAAGAAGTACTTTTGCTGCAGGAGTTTATGCTTCCTGTCACAATTTTGTATAAAACTGTTGCTTCTTGCTTTTAGCAGGAACTGTAGCCCTTTTTAGACAGAAATGTCACCAATGTGTTAACTGACTGAGATGTTACAAAGCTTGACAGCACAGCGTAGAAGTGTTAGACATAAATTATGACTTCATAAAATGGGGCGAATGTTTGCTAGTCTTAGGTCAATTCTCAAACTATGGCTCAGAGAATCAGTGGTCCAAGGACTCTTTCCTTATTGGTCTGCACATATAAAGAAGCAAGTAGAGGATTAGGATGTTGGGAGAGTAGGTGGGTCCAGGAGAGGATTTCTTTTTAAATTAACAGATCCACAGATTTGAAAAGTTAGAGAATGATTTTCATAGGTAAAAGCTGCTCCATACAGTTGCCAGCTCACATTTCCATGTTGCTAACCAGGGGTGGCTCTATGTATTTTGCCGCCCCAAGCACGGCAGTGAGGCAGCCTTCGGTGGCATGCCTTCGGCGTACCCACCGCTGAATTGCCGCCGAAGCCGCGGGACCGGCGGACCTCCTGCAGGCATGCCGCAGAAGGCAGCCTGACTGCTGCCCTCATGGCGACCGGCAGGCCTCCTCCCACGGCTTGCCGCCCCAGGCATGCGCTTGCTGCACTGGTGCCTGGAGCCGCCCCTGTTGCTAACCCCACAGTGTTTTCCTTTATGCAAACAGAAAAGCAGCAATTGCATAACATCAATACCAAAACAAGGTTCTAAGGAGCTGCATTTTATTCAGAAGTATGTTGGTTTTAGACTAAACCTTAAAAAAATACACCTCTACCCCGATATAACGCTGTCCTCGGGAGCCAAAAAAGCTTATCGCGTTATAGGTGAAACCGCATTATATCGAACTTGCTTTGATCCGCCGGAGTGCGCAGCCCCGCCCCCCTGGAGCACTGCTTTACTGCGTTATATCCGAATTTGTGTTATATCGGGTCGCGTTATATTGGGGTAGAGGTGTATTTTGAAACTAGCGTTACTATCCATACAAACAAAACTGCATTAAAAGACAGTTATTAAGGTTACAGAGGGAAGAAACTCTAAAGTTAGAAATTTACAAAATTAAGGTTGCCCTCTTGCAACTTCTGCTTGAGTTAAAGTGACAGGAGTTTGCAACCTCATGTTAGTTTTGTGACCCCCAAAACAATGGGAGAGATTGACACAGCTTGAACCTGCAAAGTTTGTCCACCCCTAGTTGCAATTTTATTTTGTGATAATAGCTCAAGTGACTTAAAACTGTTGTAGGTGTATTTAACCAACAACAGTTGGAAGAACTCGGGGCAGGGATTTGAGGTGCCGGTCATACTTCCATCTTGAGCTTTGCAGAGATACTAATAAAGCACAGTAGGTATCTACGGACAACACACTATGTCCAGTGAGTGTAAATGCAGCCCCATTGCTTTAGTCACTGATAATTGGGCTGGACAAAGCACCAGAGAACGGTACTGTAGGCAGTTGTGTTTATAGAGGGGATAGACAATAGACCTTTTCCATCTAATTTCTGTTTCTCTGCTTGAACCTGGGGAGATAATGCAAATGGTACAAATGGGTACTATGTGGTCTCTGTAGCTTAGCGTGTGACTTTCTATACTTGGTTAATAAACACTTTCTCAGATCTCCTGAGAGTCTTTCCATGTTTGTCCAGGAACTAGGGAGAGGAGAAGGATCCAAAATTGAATTTCTGCACTAAAAGAATTTGTTTTTGACACAACATCTCCAAGGATGAACTAGCTGAGCAGGGTAAGCCAAGGAAGAGTTGTACTGAAAACGAGTTTGCACGACAGTCAATACATGCATAAGCACTCCAACACAAACATAGTCACACAAGAACAAGAAGATACAAATCTTCTCTAAAGGAAATACTATGAAAATGCCCATGCAAAGGGGAATGTAGCTGGTATACTGTCAGTAAAGAGAAACACGTTTTGCCTGAAAGAGGAGAGCAGACCGCTTGTACAATAGACTCCGAGCAACAATCCACCCTGCAAAACATTTTCACTCACATATTATACAGCAAGGCCAAAAAGCACTGGTGTCACCTTCCAGTGTAAAGAAGTGCTCTCATTTCCTGCCAGGTTTACTTAATGCATCCTTAGAGCTAAACAAATAAAAATGTCATCACCATTACAGTAAACCTCTGTGATTCATATGAAAACAGTCGCTTAGATGTCAACACAAATGTTGACTAAACTGCACTCTCCTGCACAACATCCAGGTGCAAGTGGTAAGCAGAGCCTGATAACCTTATCTCAGCCTGTATCTGCTAGGCAGAGAGCTGGGGCAGGAGGATTGTGGGTGGATAGCTCAGGATTCTGTTGTGGGGGACAGGAGAGGATGACTCTGTAGCTGAGAGGTCACAGGGAGACTGGGTTGGATCAAAGCTTCTGATGAAGAGCTGACTTTGCAGCTGGGTTCAATGCTACCAATGTGATAGGTGCCTTCGCTATATGAGAGAGATTGATTCAGAGTTGGGGAGAGTGGGTGTTTGGAGTTAAAAACCACATCAGTGCAGCTAGGGAAGGAGACACGCATGTGGATTCACAATTGCTGCTGATCAAGTTACCCCAAATGCAGTATATGGATGGACCAATGTGCACCTGAAGATCTTTTGATGTGCAAGAGGAGAGTCAAGCTGGGAGGCTTGTAGGGACAAGAAGCTCCCCCCGCATCTTACCCATGCCTGCATTTGCCACTCGGCTCTCACATAGATAAAATCAGTGGCACAGCAGATGGCATATGCCAGTGAGGCGGCATTCCCTAGGAACATCTGCCATCACTCTGACTGCTGGAAGCTACAACTAGTCCAGAGAGTAGAGAGAAAGCTGCAGAGTGCCTTCAAACTGCCACACAATATCAGTCTTTAATGGCCAGAATGAGTTAAGAGAGGCTTTGGTTTATTACCCATGTCAGATGGATTTACTTAGGCTGTTTGAGCCATTCAAAAGGTTATTAGCACCGAACGCATGAAAATAATCTCTCATTCTAAAATTCTTTACCTTCAGACTGTTGTAGGCTAGATCTGTATCACGGTCTGAATCCATTTCATTCTTCGTTTCAATTACCTGGATGGATTAAAAGACAAACAGATATTTGACAGCTGCCTAGAGAAGCTGGTAAATAGGCCGGTTTTCCAACTCAGGCAATCTGACTTTGACTGCAGTTCTGGGTCACCTCCAGTATTTGTTGTTGGCTGGTGTTAAAGTACAACCAAAGAAAGCAACTACCCTAAATTGTGTATGGTAAACAGACATTAGGTGAAACGCAAAGGCCAAGGAGGAATATAATAGAGGAAAATGTACAGGGAAAAAGATAAGAAGTGTAACCATCCTTCCTTTCCCCCATACCAAGACTGTATTCAGACTAAAACCTTGTCTACACTAGAACTTACGTCGCTCAGGGGCATGAACAATCCACACCCCTGAGTGACGTAAGTTATACTGACCTACGCACTAGTGTAGACAGCGCTATGTCAGCAGGAGAGCCTCTTATGGTAGGCGAAGTAGTTAAGCCAATGGGAGAGCTCTCTACGACAGCAGCACAGCTGCATCAGTGCAGCACTTCTAGTGTAGATGCAGCCTCTGTGCCTGAGGGCTGGGATCTAATTTATGTCTGAAGGTTTGTCACTTTTTTGGGTGCTATATAAATAAGATCAAAATATGTTTTAAAGAAAGGAAATGATGGAATTTAGATTGGATACTGGCATCTTCCCCAACTTCTTTTGGAGTTTTCCCAAAAAACGTACTACTAGCAAATGAGATCGTACTTAAATCCATTGCATTATGCAAGTCTTGCCGTAAGTAAAGTACAGTTCTTGTAGCTCAGAGACTCATAAAACCAAAACCACATTTTACAGCAAAAATTATGGTTTCGGCTCATTTCCCCACATGGCTCTGCCAGATGGCCCAACGCATCAGGGTCAAGAACATAACAAGTGGCTTGAAGCACACAAATGTAATGTTTAAACTTACATTACATTAGAAAATACCATGCCCATGGGGCCTAATGTTATTTCCTTAAATTCATCTCAAGGTCAATTGAAGGTGGCAGAACAGAAGAGTTCTCAACTCCGTCGTGCTCAGACTATCAACTTCCACTCTCCTGCCTTTCCACTGAGGGAAGAGATAGCACTGAAATGCAATTCCTTACAGGCACACTCGTCCACTGTTCTAGGATTAACAAGTAACTAGAGGTATGTCTACATTGCAAAGAAAAACCCACGGGGCCAAGTCTCAGAGTCCAGGTCAACAGGCTCGGCCTCGTGCTTTGGGGCTAAAAATAGCCATGTAGACATTCAGGCTCGGGGTGCAGCTTTGGCTCTGAGTCCCTCCCCCCTCATAAGGTTTCAGAGCCTGGGCCCTAGTCTGAACCCGAACGTCTACACTGCTGTTTTTAGCCCTTAGCCCAAGCCCCGAGAGTCAACTGACCCAGGCTCTGAGATGCAGCACCACAGGTTTTTCTTTGCAGTGTAGACATACCTAAGTCTTTATTTTACAAAGACTCAGGTGACAATGAATTTTTTTTTTAATTACTCATCCTCCTCCCACTCCAGAGCAGCCAGAGTCACTCATACAGAGAAGTAGGCCCAATAACCCTTAACTCTGTGAAATGTACAGGGAGTACCGGCCCTGGAGGTCCCAGTGCAACAAGCAGATGTAGAGTGAAGCTGCTACCAACCACAATACACTCGGACACTATAACTTTCTTTCAAAGCCAGCAGAGCCTAATAAAGAAGCAGGAGCTAAGGCTTATCAGGCGGTTTGGCTTCTTTAGGTTCTTTGAGGGATCTCAACTGCCGAAAATGTCAACTGCTTAAAGGACAGGATTTAAAACTGCTGTGAGGCTCCCTCTAACCACTACCTAGCTAACTCTTACTCGGTCCTGACCCAAGTGCAAGCAGGTCAGTAGTGCCAGACAGTCTTGATTTTTTACTTTTCTCCTCCCTCCCTATTTCTGTTCCCATGCAAGGTCAAACTGCTCTTTCATCAACAGAAGCAACTACCACCAAAAACTGATCAACTCCCAGAAATGAAACCATCGGTTAATTCCTTGCACCAAAACTCATCATTGAATCACTAAATGTTTTTGTGCACTGAGCCTGTTTGATGGAGAAATCCCCATATCCAGTTGGGATCACTAAGATTTGCAATTCTTGGACGTTTTATTCCATGAATGGATGGGGCAGGCTTCATCTGGGTCAAAACATGGGCTGAGAGGAAGATATAAGAGAAGCCCATTTTCCTATGCCTATCACCCTCTGCATACATTATAGATATCTGAAAGGCGACACAAGGTTCTGGAGACTGGGACAAAAGAGGTAACAACACTGATATCCAGAAATGTCATATTCTGCTGGTTGTTTTCCAGAGAGGATGAGGGACTTTGAATATATTTCAAAACCAAACATTTCCATCAAGGAGCACGTACAGCGGGGGCTGAGTTTGCTACCTCTGTAGTGCTACCATAGAATTAAAATTTAAATGCAAAAAGAAGCACCGAAGAACTGGCAGCACTGACAAAAATGCTATTTTTGACTTTCCCTCTTCTTCTGTTGGGCAGTGAGGAACAGTGACAGCTTGACTCAAATCACATCAAGTCCAAACTGAAAACTGATCTGGAATTAGTCATGCCCCAGAGCAGGAGTGGGTCTGCTGAGGGGCGAACCTTGACAAGGACCCTAATCTTGGAAATATAGTTAGAAATGGACAAAACTATGAATGCTTCAGAACCTTGACCAGTTGGAATGAACCCTACTAAAAATGTATGGGGAGATTTTAGGGGGCTAAAACATTCAGGGTTTTGGCTCATTTGTAGTTAACGCCTTAAGAGACACAGGTCAGCTTCAGAAAGATTTAAAAATATGAGGGGAGCAATTTATGGCATATTGGCAGAAACCTTGTTTTTTAAATCGCTATCAATGAAAGGAGATTATTTGTTAAAAGCAGTTGTGCATCTCCTATGTTGCGTTCCTGCAGTCACCCGATGGAATAATTTTATTGACGTTCAATAGGAGTATCTGGCTACAGTGAATTAGAGATGATTGATATCACTTTAGTTGACTTTGCTACTGCTTTTATAAATGGACACATGGATCTCCTGCTTAAGAGAAATAACTGGAATAGATACCTGAAAAACAGGCATTAAAACAGATAAAAAAATAACTTTTTTTATGAAACCAAGAACTGTAATAACTAGGCATTTTATATTCAGCTGCTGTTGCCGAATACTGTGTACTGTACTATGCAGCTGTATAATGTATTTTATATATATATATATATATTCATAGAAAGAACCACTATAATTCAAACAAAAATACCACCTATCATAATGGGCTCTGAAATATCTAATTCACAGAGGTTACTTCTCCCGAAGAAAGGGAAAATACAAAGGTTGGCATGAAAAGTTGACCTATATTAACAGTTATCACAGCGGTATTTGTGAAAGCACAGCTATTCTCTATCAGAAGGACAAACTGCTGTCTCAGATACCACTGTGTGGGTTAGTACTTGTGGGTAAATATTGACCTTTTAGATGACTGTACTAATAAGGCCCAAAATATAGGAAGCTATTTTTTTTTTTGTAAAGCAACTCAGACATTCTGCACAGTGATGTTGGAGGAATAAACTCTGCTAGTCACTATACCTCTATTGCTGTTTTGCAGTTTATTATCTGAGGACTGGCCTACACTTAAAAATGAGATCAACCTAGCTAAGTTGCTCAGGGCTGTAAAAACTTCTAGCCTCAAGCTCTGTAGTTAGGTTGACAGAAGAATTCTTCTGGCTGCCCCTGGTGTAGATGCGGCTAGGTTGACAGAAGAATTCTTCTAGGTGCCACGCCTCTTGGAGAGATGGATTAACTACATCAATGGAAAATCCCCTTCGGTCAATGTAGGAAGCGTCTATACTATATCACTACAGTGGCACAGCTGCAGCTGTGTCACTGTAGCGGCTGTAGTGCAGACATGCCCTTAGAGCTCGCAAGGGCTGTAATACTATATAACTATTACTGGACTCAGTCTTGAAAATATGGAGCTATAAAATACCCAGTTTGGGGCACAGACCTACCTTGTGTCTGTAGAATGCCTACCACACTTGAGAATACTATGGTCAAATTTCCCCTTTTTCATTCCTAAAGTTGAACTCCTAAATTCACATATAGGCACATAAATAAATAGTCTGGTTTTCAAAGGTGTTAAGTATTGAAACCAACAAGAATGAAGGGCACTTAGCACTTTGAAAATCAAGTCACTTACTTATGTGACTTCATATACGTTTAGATGCATGGCTTCAGATATCCACATTTGAAAGAACTGGCCCATGTTAGTAACAAGAACAGTGTGTTATGGTCTCATGTTTGTAAGACTCATACGTGTATGAATAGACAGTGCCTTAATTTGCCTTCTATTATTCAGGCTGCCTTTTCACTTGCTGGTCTCAGATATTAAAACTGAGTTCACAGCTAAAATTTCCCATAGGGATAGTAAACAGGATCAATGGTATATTGAATTCATTACACTAGAGGCCAACAGCCATTGCGGGGTCAATTGTCTCTGGGGTGGGATAAATCATTCCAACATTGATTTTACATTTCATTGATTTCAAAGCCATTGCTCATGTGGAGGAAGGTGGCAATAAAATAAAATGACATTGTTACTCATGGATGAATAGAGTGATGTATATATTTAGAGAGAATGAATTACTTTGCTGGGTAGACTTTATATTCTGTAAGGAAATGGATGTATCTGATAGTACAGGCACCCACCTGTACTAGGAGATCAAATGACTCAGGCAGGCCAAGCTAGCAGAGATGTGCGAGACTTCTCTCTGGATATTTGTCCCTTTGAACCTCTAAATTAGTCTCTGATTAGGTTAAACTTTGAGGAAAGAACTTTCCTCCTTTTTGCTCAGGGTGGCATCGAGGCAGGATATGAGCTCTTTTGTAGTTAGAGTGCGGAGATTACATTTAAGGAAGCTCATGAATAAGCAGTAAAACTTCTGTTTATCTATTCAGATACATTCCAATTCCTCCAAGATTGATCATATTTTTGAACCTCTTAGCTCTTACATAGTATCTTGGGGAAATGCAAATCCGAGATGGATCATGAGCTGCGGATGTGTGTCTGAGTGGCCTAAACATCATGTTCTAGAGAGGAAGGATGGTCCATTGGTTCAGGTGTTAGCCTGGGGAGCCGGGTTCATTTCCCTGCTCCACCAACGACTTCCTGTTTGATCTTGAGCAAGTCATTTAGTCTCTCCATGCCTCAGCTCTTCATCTGTAAAATGGGGATACTACTTCACTTTTTCACTGAGGTGTTGTATGGATGAATACATTAAAGATTGTGAGGCTCTCAGATACTATGATAATACGGGTTTCAGAGTAGCAGCCGTGTTAGTCTGTATCCGCAAAAAGAACAGGAGTACTTGTGGCACCTTAGAGACTAACAAATTTATTTGAGAATAAGCGTTCGTGCATCCGAAGAAGTGGGCTGTAGCACACGGAAGCTTATGCTCAAATAAATGTGTTAGTGTCTAAGGTGCCACAAGTACTCCTGTTCTTTTTATGATAATACGGCCATATAAGTACCTATGATGTCTACAAGACAGATATGTGTTCTAAATTCTTTGAATCTTTAGAACCACTGGTTTCAATGCTGACAAAGTTAATTCATCTCTTTACCTGCTGAGACAGATAAACAGAATACATGCTTCACTGTGTAAGGTTGTATCTGTTGGATGGTATCTTGAACTGGGCATGGACAATAAAAGTATTTTCATAAGACTAGGGATTGCTCAGGTGCTGTTAGCTAAAAATGTCACCTTGCTCACTACTGTAAATAGTATTGTGCAACTGTAAACTACAGGGATGCTGCCCTCCATTCTGGAAGTGGCTGCCTGGCCTCCATCCTCTACCTCAGAAGAGGCTGCATTTCAGTGCTTCTGTATGCGTCTACAAATCTGTAGATCCCTTTGGGGTCCTTTATGATGAAAGCTGCTATATAACATCCAATATCGTGATTGGGAATTATACATGTTAGGGTTGGAAAGTATAATTTGGTCATCCAGTACAGCTTCCTGTAAGAGGATTATTCATATATATCTTCCCATCTATGCAGCCACTCTCAACTCAAATGCTTCTAATGAGTTTGTCATAAACCATCTCATCAGGCAAAACCGTTCTGCTGGCTGATTGTCCTTAACTGCCAGAAAGGTTTTTCTCCTCATTTCCAAGATCAATTTGACCTTTCTTAACTGAAGGCCATTGCACCCAAATCTTAAATCACACACTGCATGCCCTAAGGCACTCAAGGAAAGCCAACTAGGATATGAAATTTAATATTAAAATCAATAAAAGGGCATCTTTACCTGGGATTTCTTTTTCTCCAGCTGGGTTTGCAGTTTCTTTCTCTCCTGTTCAAGTTCCCTCACTCGCTTTTGTAGCTTCAGGAAGAGAGTCATATCCATGGCTGCTTTATCCAAACCAACATCCTACATGGGCGGGAGAGAGAGAGAGTAATTTTATCAGTCCAAAAACATTAGTGAATACAGCTGGGGGAATAACAGATTTTTTTGGTTCACGGACAACTTCAAAAAATTAAAAAAAAACAACAACTGTTTTGGGTCTGACCAAAACTAAAACTTTCAAAAGAAGAAGTCAAAACAAAAATTTAGTTTGGGGCCAAACAAAAATCTTAAATGAAAACATTTTGTTTCAATTTTGAGCTTTTAAAAATATTTATTTTTTTTAAAACAAGAAAATGTCTAAATGAAAATTCATTTCAAACCAAAAAAATAACAGTGTTAAATATTTTTTTCAAAGACTTGGATACCCACTGCCCCCAAAACAAGTTGGCAAAACTGACACGTATTTGCAAAACACTTTGTTGTCACTGAATCTGTATTTTTCTCTGAAAAAAGTTTTGGTTAAAAAATTTCTCCCATCTGATGTGGTGAATGCTCCACTCAGTAACAGTATGTGGACTACGCACTGCTCTGTACGTTCATGTCACCTTCCAATACTTAACACAAGAGTTTCAAAAAGTTTCCACATTTTGAAAGACCAATATTAATATTTAATATTAAAGGCACACATTATATTAAGTTTCCAATCATAAATAGATTATAAAGGGTCAATGGATGGTTAATGGGCATTTTAATAAATTAATCAATTGTTATATAGTTCACGGAGTCAATATGTTGCTTATAGCCATGGCTTATATCCATCTATAAAACTCTCTACTGATTGGCTTAAAATCATCTAGGAGACATACTAATGTATGTAACAGGCTTAAAACATACATTAATCTTTTATTAACACTTCATATGTTACTTGTAGATGGAGCTTTAATACTGAGGTGTGACCAACACTGAGGTTTTGGTATTGTCTAAAGGCCCCAATCCATTGTACTTACATAGTGGAGGCTTTCATCAGTGGTTCTCAGAAGGCTTGATAGATATTAAAAAGCCTCATGACAGTCAGGTGAGGTAGGTAAGGGATTATACAGATGGGGAAGCTGCAGCATGTAGTGATGACGTGACTTGCTCAAAGTCACAGACTAGAAAATGGAACCCAAAGCATCCCAGGCCTTTATTCTAGCAAAGACTGTATTTTATACTTCAACTTAAATATGAAGTGTACTGTTTATATAACTGATCTATGCCACTGTTAGCAGGGAGGAAGCAAAATATACTTCCCCTTCCTCCAATAATTCTTCACTTCCTCGCTCAAGTCAGATATTTAACTAGGACATTTCCTTCTATATTGAGATATTTGAAATTGTTCTTATAGAGAGGATGTATTGGCTGGCAAGGATTTGTAAAAAAACAAAGAAAGAAAACTGTTCTTTAGGAGGTTTATAATGTAATTTGGTATCCTTTGGAATGAAAGATGCTACAGACATGTAACCTTACAATCAGTATTGATAGTCAGTCATAATAATATTTAATGTTTTGTGGGTGTTTCCATATTTACCAGGATGCACCCTACACATCAATTCATTATGTTTAAACGGTGTTTAAGGGCCTGATCCTGCACTGAGTTCTTAGTAGTGCTCTATGCAGGATCAGGGTCTTAAGATTTCCCTCTCATACAATTAACAAGAATCATTCATAGCATGAAAAAAGAAGCAATTCTCACTAGTCACATTTCATACTCAAAGCCATACTCTTTCTCTACGGGCTCCATTTAGAGTGAGCCACATATCGATTATTCCCTCTTGACTAGCCAGAATCAGACAGAGCCCCTTAGCCAGTCTGACTTATAGTACCTCCACTTGTTGTATTGCATCCTCTGTGTCTCCTATCTCAGATGTAGAGACTGATGGACAATTGGAATCAGACTCTAGACTGCTCTGGTTAGATGGGTTCCTTCTGTGTCCTGGGGTCTGCTGTTAAAAAAAAAAGAGATAATAGAGTGATTTAGTAGAAAAGACACTGTACTAAGGATTATGTAAACTAAGCTTTTGGGAAAGGGACCTTATCTATTAGGTGTTTTATAAATAATCAAGTACACTTATGGCACTTTCTACTTAAAATAACGGGTCCATATTATTCATCAAGTCAAAACACTGTGTTCAGGACATTACAAAACACAGAGGGAGAGACAGCTCCTTATCCAAAGCTCTTACAGTTTAAGTAGCTGGACAAGACAATGCAGACACATAATATATCTGCTGGTCAAGAGGAGGATTCCTCATAAAGCGGTTTAGTTTAAAAAATATTTTTCGATATTAAGATGACTGTCATAAGAGGGTCGACCATTTGCTTGCTTTTGGGCTTCGTTTTCTGGTTCTTGTGCACTGGTGCACATTACGACAGGGGGACATTTAATCAAAATGTAGTTTAAAACAACAAAACACAAACACACCCAACTCCATTCACATATATATAAATAAACAACCACAACCAACAACTTAAAAAGTGTCTATGCACCAGACACCAATTTTCTCATGTATGCTTGGAAGCTACTTTAACACATCCAAGCCTGGCTACCCGCGATTTGTGAAGTTTGGACACACACATCTGAGTTTGGAGCCTAATATTTATCATAATATCCTTATGGTTTTCCTTTAAAATGTTCAGCCTTTGAACTGGATGACAGCATCCCTTAATAACTAATTATCAATGAGGCTATTGCTAAAACTCTAGCAAGGCTGAATCTAAAACTTAGACTTTTATATTTATAATGCCACAATGATTTTCTTAGAATTGAATAACAGAGTATATCTGTGATACTGAAATAGAGAAAAGATAAACAGATTTTTTCCTTGCTGTTCATAAGGAATCTGTAAATGCGTGACCAAGTGGCTACAGAAAACCATGTATTTCCAGAAGAAGTTGCTCTTGGTCTAATATCAATGCATAACTTCCCCCTCAGAAATATCGACACAAATGAGTTCTAGAATAGCATTGTTGTCATCAAATGAAATCAGTTGCATTATCCAGTTACCAATAATACACACAGGACATCAGAGGGCAGGGGTAATGTAAAAAGCCTCTTCCATTACCTTTATAATAGTCATCTCATCCCTCAAATTGTCATATCTCTGCTCCAGCCTTGAATACTCCTTTACAAGGTTCTGATAACGAGATCGCTCCTCTTCCAACTCCTTCTTCGTCAGGAGATTTTCCTTGACAGTGGTTTGGGCAAATTCATCTTTAAAAGATACATATTGAACTGTGATGTTCAGTTCTGAATTGATTTCTTACAGGCAACTGCAATATGATTTATAGTTCAACAAAATGCTCTCTGCTAAGAGGCTTTTTTGAAATCTTGCATTCTTATTTAGTGAATACACTGTAACAAATCTGTGGCCAGCTAGGAATTTCATGGCTGTCATCACACTGCACAGAACAGCTATTTGGAACTTCATGGATGCAGGTAGAATAGATCTCCAATACTCCCGCTCCAAAACCAGAGGTCTCTACCAGTTGAGTAAAGGATAATCTCCTTTAGCTATTAGACATACGTCTCTGATGCACAAACGAGCAGTCTGATTCTATCCAATAGAGGGCAGTGGTGCATACATATTAGCCATATTACTCTATGGAAATACCTGATTTACCTATGTTGGATGTCAAGTGGGAAATCTATGCAATCATACTATTGCATACTGTTGATGACTACAAAGAGGTAACCAAACTAGAGGTGATGGGGGAAGAGAGAAAGAATCCCTAATACAGAGCTCTGGTAGTGCAGGATTACTCTGTACAACACAGTCTTTGCTATCTGTACTTCCCAAAAATGTTAATCCTTTCCTACTGCACAGAATACCATGGGCATTTTAAAATAGTTTATTTTTGCATGTGAATTTATTAATTTACAAGAACTCTATTCTGAAACAAAATTTGTTTCCCCCTGTTATTTGAAGAAGAAAAAAATTAAAACTGGTAAGTCAAATTACCATTTATTTTTTATTTAGCCAAACATTAAATTAACATTTAAATTAAAACAACAACAACTAAACTAACTTTTCTCAAGCTTTTACATAGTGGAAACATTCACTCACAGATAGGGAACATTCGTGGCAAGTTTCACTTTGCAAGGGATTATGGGCCTGCTCCTGAAATCAATGGTTTGAATGGTGTAGGATAGAGCCTCATAACAACAATCCTACATTGGAAAGGAGATGGACTGGGTGACCTAATAGAACTTTCCATTTCTACAATAATCTTCAGAAAATAAGGGTGGGATGTGTAAAGGGGCTCACGGTCAGCCTAGCTCTTCTCCCGTTCAATGGACGTGTTCTCATTTACTGCAATGGGAGCTGAGCTGAGACTCTCAGTAATTCTTTTTTTAAAAATTTTGAAATTTCATCCAAATTTCAAAATTTGAAAAATTCCAAGCAGCTCTAATGTTTCTAATATTAATGCTATTTCAACACTAGTTATAGCTGTGTTTAAAGATACCACTATAAAGAGGGTAAATGGTCAGTGTGCTGGGTTCAAATCTCAGTCTGCTCTAAATAGAGGTCAACATTTCCAAATATGGATGTGTCTAAAGTTAAATATTGACCAAGTAGTTCAGGTGCCTAAATAAGTGGATTGATTTTCAAGAGTGCTGAGCACTCAGCAATTCCTGTCTACTTCAACAGGAGATTCTGGGTGCTCAGCACTTGAAAAAAATCAAGTGTCTTGTTTAGATTTTAGGAGTTTAATTTTTGAAAATCTAAGTCCTGGGATAGCTGGCAGTCAGTCAGGACTGAAGTGCCTGGACAGGGGTCCACTGGGAAGCTTCCACAGAGCCTGGCATGCATTATGCCTAATGCTAGCTAGTGCCTGCCGAAAGGCACTCAAAAATTCACCTCTAATTGAAGCCAATATATTTTGCTATGTTAAGCTGAATAGAGTCTGATAATAAGCACAATACATGCAAGGGTGGAATGTATTCCTTTCATGTCCTGGGACTTTCCAGATTGTTTCCCTCTGTAGTTCTCTCACAATCTAAATCTCTGCTTTAAATTTCACTTCATTCTGTCACATTCAAGATGACATTCATCATTGTCCAAATATTACTGTTTGAACATCTCTGCTTCTAGGCTCCCATCTGTCAGCATTAAAGGGTTGTCCCCCCATCACAGTCATCCTGATGAAATTCTAAGATGTAATTGAATGGAAAACCCCTTTAGGTACTATATTCCGTGTTTAATCCCTCCCTGATTAAATCAGGTTCATGTCTTGTCTTATCCCCTGGCAGTACAGAGAGAATAGAACTGTTGAATAACAACAAACATTGTCAAAGAAATAAAGGATGCTGGAAGATTAGCACATTTCAGTTTATGAGCCATTGCTGGGGCATACGGGAGAAACTAATTTTATGAAAAACAGCTTAATCCTCGGTTTATTACAAGTGTTATGAAGCTATAAACCATTCTTCTTACCTTCAGACTGACATAGGATTCTGTTGTTAAGCTCCTCTTTTTCCTGTTTCAAAAGAGCATTCTCCTCTTCTAGGTCTGATACGCGCTAAGGAAGAAACAAGGCAAAGTAATACCTCTTGTAGTGTAGGCCAGCTCAAGGTCAGGCTCTCTTCAGGGGAATAAGTTTCACTCACTCACTCACACTCACACTCACACTCACACACAGGTTTTTTGGTTGGTTTTTTTTGGTTGGTTAGTTTCTTGTTTGTTTGTTTTTTTAAACCAAACAGGGTTTTTTTTTCCTTGCCATTTTGGAGCTATTCTCACTGCATCAGGAGCATGAATGGTAAAAAAGATATTAACTGCAACTGAAGGGTGTTTATTTTCAAAGTAAATTGTCCCATAGACACAAGTGTTTACTGCAAAACCTCAATGCAAAAAAGGTCAAGATGGCAAATTATATCTATTTCTTTGAATAGGAACACAATATATACTAGTCACAGGGCTCCAATAGTTGATTATGTCATCCAAGTACTGAGAAGCCCATGCTCAGAATTAAGTACTGAAGATCTATACCTCTCTTAAAAATTACAACATTGACTTTGTTACAATATTCTGCAATTGATCCTTCTACTACACAGTATCACAAAACAGGCATTTGCTAGGTATAGATTTCTATGGCAGCGCAAATGCCATTTGCAGGTGTTACAATTACAGGACTTGGAATGTGAAAGAAAACAACACCATGACATGTGTTAGAGACAAAGTATCAATGGTGCAGCTGTGAAAGGGTTCAGAAAGGTGAAAAGGAACAGAGAAAAGGTACAAACAGAGGAGAAAAAGTACACCATTGTTCTGAATATTCTAAAAAGAATGAAAAAAAAAGTGATGTACAATATAAATGAAACCAGAATGCTATACAGGCCTGCATAGCCAACTGTCCAAGCAGATGTGTTACCAGCTATAACAGCATTTCAGCGCACCTGCCAATTAACAGGGGATTTAGAGGCAAAATAAAGAGAAAGAAAATGTTCTCAGACAAAAAAGACTATGCAGAAGATTTAAATTTTCCAGGTGATGTGTCTGTCTAGGTCATTATACTGTGCTTATCACCATGGTATGTAAGTGCCTGACAAACAAAATACTACATATTTCAAACCTTTTTAAACTCTGAAATTTTATGTTTATACCCTTCATTGAATTTTATACTCAGATTATATGCACTCTGGGATAAGAACTTTTTTACTCTGTTTTTACAGGACCTAGCAAATTGGTTCCAATCCTGATCAGGGCCTCTAGATGTTACCATAGTACAAAGAGATAATAAATCATAATAATTCCTCCTCCTCCTCCAACAGTAACCAAAAGAAGGCTGAGGGGGGATATGATTGCTCTCTTTAAGTATATCAGAGGGATAAATACCAGGGAGGGAGAGGAATTATTTCAGCTCAGTACTAATGTGGACACGAGAACAAATGGATATAAACTGGCCGTCGGGAAGTTTAGGCTTGAAATTAGACGAAGGTTTCTAACCGTCAGAGGGGTGAAGTTCTGGAACAGCCTTCCGAGGGAAATAGTGGGGGCGAAAGACCTCTCTGACTTTAAGATTAAGCTTGATAAGTTTATGGAGGGCATGGTTTGATGGGATAACGTGATTTTAGTCAGTAGATCAATAACGTGCCATCGCTGGTAATTAGTAACAATGGTCAATGATGGGATATTAAAAGTTACTACAGTGAACTTTTTCCGGAGGGTCTGGCTGGAGAATCTTGCCCACATGCTCGGGGTTAAGCTGATCGCCATATTTGGGGTCGGGAAGGAATTTTCCTCCAGGGTAGATTGGCAGAGGCCCTGGAGGTTTTTCGCCTTCCTCCGCAGCATAGGGCAGGGGTCACTGGCTGGAGGATTCTCTGTGACTTGAAGTCTTTAAATCACGATTTGGGGACTTCAACATCTGAGTCAAGGGAGAGAATTATTCCAGGAGTGGGTGGGCCAGCTTTTGTGGCCTGCATCATGCGGGAGGTCAGACTAGATGACCATAATGGTCCCTTCTGACCTTAAAGTCTATGAGTCTGAGAGATAGTTGATGACTGCACTGACTGAGCACTAACAACCCCTATTAAACATGGAAGTTATAAGAAATGCTATTTAAAACATGAGACAAAGTAAAACTAAATATCATGTAAGACACCAACTCCTGGAGTGAAACTAGTAGCATTACTCTACCTACTAAATCTATTTATCCTTGGTACTGTTAATTTATTCAATAGTATTATTTTAGACAAGTCAAAACATGAAAACATTATATTAAGAAGTGTGACGTATTGCTCTGTTTAAGTTGAACACTTCTACTGTTGCCAGGAAGGAGAGAAGAAAACAACACAGTATTCCAATATAATGTTATTCGCTAGGTCTCTGCAGTTGCAGTTCATAGCACGACCATCATAACTTAGAAAATAGCTGCACAGAACATATGGGGATCTTGAGCTGCCTGAAGAAAATCAGCTCCATACTACAGCATAATAAAGGTTTTTCCACTGTCCAAGCAAGAATAATGACACGATCCTGCTAAAACCCATGTATCTTTAGTGGCAGCCTAATTGATTTGATCATATTGAATTCCTCAGTTTTCTGGGAAGGCAGAATAAAATCGAGATATTTTATTAAAAAAATGGTTACCAAAATTGTTAGTGGAAGTAAAAGCAGAGAGAACATTCTAATGGAGTCAGAAATTCAACCTGCTTTGCACTATAGTGTTCAAGCACAGTCACTTACAAATCCTATTCACAAGCTATCACTATCCACATCCAGCTCTCTGCTATGTCTGCATGCATAACAGGTTTGCATCATAGAATTGTAGGACTGGAAGGGATCTCGAGATGTCATTTAGTCCAGTTCCCTGCACTCACAGCAGGACTAAGTATTATCTAGACCATCCCTGACAGGTGTTTGTCTAACCTGCTCTTAAAAATCTCCAGAAATGATGGAAATTACACAACCTACCTCGGCAATTTAGTCCAGTGCTTAACTACCCTGACAGGAAGTTTTTCCTAATGTCCAACTTAAACCGCCCTTGCTGCAATTTAAGCCCTTGCTTCCTGTCCTATCCTCAGAGGTTAAAGAAAACAATTTTTCTCCCTCCTTCTTGTAACAACCTTTCATGTACTTGAAAACTGTTACCATGTCCCCTGTCAGTCTTCTCTTCTCCAGACTGAACAAACCCAATTTTTTCAATCTTTCCTCAGAGGTCAAATTTTCTAGACCTTCAATCATTTTTGTTGCTCCTCTCTGGACTTTCTCCAATTTGTTCACATTTTTCCTGAAATGTGGCACCCAGCACTGGACACAATACTCCAGTTGAGGCCTAATCAGTGTGGAGAAGGGCGGAAGAATTACTTCTCGTGTCTTGCTTACAACACTCCTGCTAATACATCACAGAATGATGTTTTCTTTTTTGCCAGTGGTACACTGTTGATCATATTTAGCTTGTGATTCACTATAACCCCCCCAGATCCTTTTCCACAGTACTCCTTCCTAGGCAGTCATTTCCCATTTTGTATGCGTGCAACTGATTGTTCCTTTCTAAGTGGAGTACTTTGCATTTGTCCTTATCGAATTTCATCCTATTTACTTCAAACTATTTCTCAAGTTTGTCCAGCTCATTTTGAATTTTAATCTGATCCTCCAAAGCACTTGCAACCCCTCCCACCTTGGTATCATCTGCAAACTTTAAAAGTATACTCCCTATGCCATTATCTAAATCATTGATGAAGATATTGAACAGAACAGGACCCAGAACTGATCACTGAGGAACCCCACTTGATATGCCCTTCCAGTTTCACTGTGAACCACTGATAACTACTCTGAGAATGGTTTTCCAACTAGTTATGCACCCACCGACAAGTAGCTCCATCTAGGTTGTATTTCCCTAGTTTGTTTATGAGAAGGCCATGCAAGGCATTATCAAAAGCCTTACTAAAATCAAGATATACCAGATCTACCGCTTCCCCCCATCCACAAGGCTTGTTACCCTGTCAAAGGAAGCTATCAGATTGGTTTGACACAATTTGTTCTTGAGAAATCCATGCTGACTGTTACCTATCTCCTTATTATCTTCTAGATGTTTGCAAACCGATTTCCTAATTATGTGCTCTATTATCTTTCTGTGTACTGACGTTAATGGATACTGCTGCAGACTAGAGAGAGAGACAGAGATAAAATAAAGAAAAGCCTTTTTCTAAACCATGCAGAATTACTAATGACTGTCTGAGCTGGATGAATATATGATTATGCTGTACCAGAATATGAACTTGAGTTTCATGTATTTAAAATATTTTATTTCAAATCTTTGGATGTATAAAATGGGAATATCGGGTAGGCGTAGAGAGGTTATTTTACCTCTGTATTTAGCAACGGTGTGACCTCTGCTGGAATAATGTGTCCAGTTCTGATGTTCACACTTCAAGAAAGATGTTGATAAACTGGAGAGGGTTCAGAGAAGAGCCATGGGAATGATTAAAGGATTGGATAATATACCTTATAAGTGCTAGATTGGAGGAGCTCAGGCTACTTAGTTTAACAAAGAGAAGGTTAAGGGGTGATTTGATCAGTCTATAAGTACCTTGATGGGGAACTGAAATTTGTTAAGAGGGCTATTCAGTCTAGCAGACAAAGGGTAAAAAGATCCAACAACTGGAAGCTGAAACATGAATTAGTTCAGGGAAGATCTATGGTCTGTGTTATGCAGGAGGTCAGAGTAGATTATCACAAATGCTATTATTCTATGAATTTATGAAAAACTAAGTATTTCTACTTTGAGAACTGGAGCATGTTTTAGTTTTAACTACACATTTTTACAGGACACTAGTATCCAGTGCCATACCTGACAAAAAACAAATGGAGAAAGAACTCTAATTTCTGCTACAGAGCAGATTGTATGGTAGAGCCTTACATTACATTAAATACCTTTAAAGCTAAGTGAGTGAAAAATATTTCCCAAAGGCTAAAGTACTATGTATGTGCCCTTTATGAAAGTAACCCACAAACACTGGGAATGGAAAAATAGAGATTTCGCAGCCTCGGGCCCAACTTCGATTGGAGAAAGAAAAGAATAGTATAGAGTAGAAACAAAAAGAAATATCCTTAGCTAGAAGCTATCCTTTATCCTTGATAAACCCTAAATTAAAGCTCTTTTATATCAGACCTAATGGGTTTTGTTTATTGCTTTCTTGTTTCCATGTGAAAGAGAAATGGGAACGTATCAACATTCACGTTTCAGAGAAACGTGGTGAGAACAGAAAGGTCCATTTAATGCAGGTGTAGATAAGTAGAGCATGTTATTCAGCAGCAATGCTGCAGAAATTCCTTCTCCAGTTGGAAGTCTCTATCTTCAACACATTTCCTTTTGGGCCAGATTTCAAGAGAGCTCAGCTCACATTTGCCTACATGAAGTGGCTGGATTTTCTGAAGCACTCAGCATTCAGCAGCTCCCATTGAGAACTGTCTGTTTTACCTATTTGCATGGTGGGGGCTGTTGGGTGCTGAGCAGTTTTGAAGATCTGGTCCTTATTTGGGAGCTGTTTTGAAATCTGGCCCCAATTGTGGGTGCTGAGCACTTTTGAAAGACTGATCCTTTAGACTGGCAAAAGATGTTAGGATTGTCCTAAAAAAAAAAAAAAATCTTTGCTAGTTTGTGAGAATCCTCACAACTCACCGAATAACTCTGTTACGAATCTCTTGAAATCCATAAAGAACTGTTTCTAAGTATTCACACCAGAAAAGGAAAAGGAGATGCTCATCCTATAAATGAGAAGAATTATCCTAAAAGTACGAAGATGGCAGAGAAAGCGGAAAGAGTAAGACTTAAGAACAGATTTTGCAGTTAAATCGGAACCAAAATGGACTTGATCATGTCGTCAGCTGTCACAAGTCCAAGAAAGCAAAGGACACAATCAACTTGATCTAACTGGAAAAAAAAAATGTTCTCAGGTGATTTTTGTGCTAAAATCTAAAGAGAATGCATCTCTGCCTTTCTCACCATGTTTCCATAATATAGCTATGTGGAAAGCTTAGGGCTTGATGACCTAAGGAAATGGACTGGAATAGCAATTTGGAATATTCCAGAATAGCTTCCTTTGCGGACACTCCATTCCGAAACGAAAGTCACTTTATTCCACACGATAGCTTTTCTGCAATAACTATTCCTGTTAATTTCCCTGTACCGACGAGCTGTTAGTCGTAGAGTTTTGATGATTTACTATGAGAGCCACATTATCAAATCACTCAAACAGCCAAAGCTTTACAATTAAACCCAGAGGATGCTTAGTACAAGCACGCTTTCTTCACATCCAATCCCAACAGGGAAACCAGCCTGAATGTCTACATAGCAATTTGACAGCCCCGAGCCCAACTCAGCTGACCTGGGTCAACCACAGGTGTTTGCTGTGTAGACGTACCCTTAAGGCTAGTGTCTGCTCACACTAGTGCTTTTCTTGTACAAAGGCTCGATATTGCCAACATTTTGTATAACTTCAATTTCAAGAAAGATGGATTGCTCAGGTGTATTGACATACCGGGGCAGAAAGCAACTTCTGCCTCTAGTGCAATATACTGATTCAAATCCAGCTAAGCTGGTAGTACTGAGAGTTGTTAGAAATGGCAGGCTGATTGCTTATGGGAAGTGATTTGGCAATCTCAATCCAGTTCCTAGTGCACAGGTACCCACAACACAAAACCACCATGATCAGCAACATTAGCAGTCTCACGGCCACAGATTGAATGGTCCTGTGCAACGAACAAGCCCTCACTCCCGACACTGTGTCAGAACAGGATGATAGTATCCTTTAAACAGTTTTGTGTGCCCACTAATGGTGCTCTCTGTGCCCTATGTTTTAGAAGCCACCAGAAACCAGTCAAAGCAGCCGTACATGTGTGGCTAGGCCTTGCATGTTTGTGTAGTTAGCGAACACAGTTATTTGGGACCCAACTGTGCACACATGGTTTCTTCATAGTTATTGTTGTGCAAAGTTGACCAGACACAAACACCATCCTAACACCGTATGCCTAGGCCATGGTTAAGGCACAGAGGCAGGGAAGCTTGAACTGCCACTTGCTCTCCGCATTGTGTGGATAAGCAGAGGACTTCATATAGTGAAAGGATGAAAAAGCAGGACTTTCAAAAGCCCCTGAAGGAGTCTGATGCCTCACTCCCACTGGAAGTCCCATAGGTGCTTTTGAAAATCTCACCCTTAGATTCTTAACAAAAACATCTGCCTCTGATTGCCTGAAAAAAAAGGCCTGCCCTCCATGGTGCCTACACACCACATGGAGGGCACGCGATAAACACAACACATACCTTTCGGAGTAGATCTTTCTCCTTATCATAGGTGTCTTCAATAATCTTCCTTTCACTGTGGGATTTCTCGAGCTCCAGCCTGAGGCTCTCAATCTCTTTTTTCAAGTTTACAAGCTGGTTGGTATCCCCCCGATTCTGCCGATATTGCTCCAGCTCCTTCTTCAGCTTTTCCACATCAGTGGAATAGGCAGAGGTAAGTGCCGAGAGCTGCTCATTCAGGTGCTTGTATTCTTTGTTCTGCAAGCCACAACCCAGGAAAAAGAAAAGGATTACGTGAGCAGGACCAATTGCAAAAGCAACAGATAGAAAAATCCTGAATGTGGTAGGTAATAAATTTTAAATAGTAGATGTCAGTGCGCATATATGCTCCCCTTTCCTAATTAATAAAGCAGACATAAGCCAAACCCAATTTAAAATGACAACAGGAAAACTTAATAGTAATATTTCTGTAACAATTATATAAGCATTTATTTACTTTGTTAAACTAGAAATAAATGCAAATAATGTTTGTTACTTCTTGTAACAGAAACAGTAAACTACATTTTTATTACACCTTCAAAATAAGCAGCGTTGCTTAATGCAATTGGTTTGCAGTATTTTATGATGCAGTTTATCTTTTTCTTCTCAGCACTTATGCCTTCAGGATCCTGCTGTGACAATGAACTGTAACGTAATTGCAGGCTTGAGCACAAAGCTCTATGCCTCATCTATGGGATGCAGTGGTTCAATAGGCCTTTTCACTCGCTCTGATTTTTTTTTTTAACCTGTCACCAATTGCTCACTTAAGTAGCTTCCTCTAAAGAGTTTGAGATCTGAAAATTCACCGCCCCTTGGTTGATGCTTGTGGCTCAAATCAAAGTTAATGGGAATCACATATCGTACAATTCCCTTGATTATTATTACAGTCAACCGCACAAAAGAATTTCTCTTTCTTCCCCTGAAAATTCACAAATCACAGCAGCATGTCCTCTTAGGTGAAAAGTCTATCAAATATCATTACTAGTATTACAAAGCCATCTCCCTGGGTACAGTTGCTTATGAAAAATAAGGTTATTTAAAAACTCTTCCTCTTTTCTTTTGCTTTTTTTAAAGTGACCTGAAAGGATTTTTAAAAACTGGGTTTATGCCCTTTTTTGCTTCTTTTGCTGTATTAACAAAACCTGAAAGATTTTTTGTTTTTTAAACAGTTTTTCTCTGGTTGAGTTTTACTTGGTCTTCCCTGGCTTTGCTGGAGGATGTGTTGATGGGTAGGGGGCATCTCAAGATGTATAGTATGAGCTCACACACCTTGACAAAAGTGCTTCAGTTAACTCTCATAATTTGGTGCTTTTGTCAAAGCTTCAGCTCCTGGAGTCAGGTGAGTACAGGAGAATCCCAGCTTTCATTTTGATCAATTAAAGTTTCTAGCCCATGTGACTGCAGAGAAAAGCTTGAAAATGTGAAGCCTAAAGGCTCAAAAGCCAGAAGGCAAAAACAAAGAAGCCACAAATGTATTATTTTTAAAGTCTCATGATTTTGGAAGGCCTAGATTCATGAATTTTGAATGCTTGGGGTTGGCAATGCCGTGAAAGGATCAGGGTATTAAATCTTTAACAATTATCTCCTTTGCCAAAAAATGGTCATTAGTCACTGAAGTTAAATAGGTGTTAACAAAAAACAAACACGAAGGCTGCAGCCCTGGCCACAATGAAGTCAATGGCCATTTCCAAAGAGGTCCATTTAGAAGTAAAAGTTATGCTTTGGCGGTGAAGAACTGCAACACATTCTCGCCAGCTCATGAAACTCTGACTCTTCCTCCTCTGTAAAGGCACTTGTGACTGCTGTTTGCTCTCTTAATACTAAGTAAAGTTTTCTGCATGAGCTCCAAAGATAAGATTTTGGATCTGTCAGGTGACAGACATCGTTTCAATACCCATTAAGAATCAGGGCACTTTTTAGTCACAGAGACAAAAGAACATTCACCTTCCCAAAGGCAGCAAAGCCACATGCATCTAGCATTGGTTGTCTGAAGCATAATAAGTCACCTGCACAGTACCAAAGCAAACCCCTCTGAAAACCAACGAGGTGTGTGCATGCATGTAAAGCTATGCAGATTCACAGTGCGCTTCTTTGGTAACAGTCTCACAGGGGAGTGTCACAGGCAGCTACTTTATATGCATGTTTCATCACCTTTTTAGGACACACAACATGGAAGCATAAGTGGCTAAAATAATAGGCCTGATGTGATGAAATGAGGTACCTGGGGGCAAAGTACGTTGTAGGAGGCCACCATCACAATGAACAAGAGTCACGATAACTAGATAGGCACTAAATTAAAATTTGGGTAAAAGGCCGCTTGAGAGGCTCGTGTGCACCTCCCAAAACAGTAATAAATGGTGATCCCTCGTCTTTCCTGAATGGAGAGCTCGGAATGACTTGCTGGAGAGAAAGCAGTGAGGGTTAGAGGGTACTAATTCTTCCCTCTGAAAGGTGCATAAGGTACAAAATCTAACTTCATCAAAAAGAGAAACGTCAACAAGAGATTTGGAGGAGCGCTGGACGAATAACTGATTTTTCAGTTCATCAGCAGTTCTAAAAAATAATAATAAAAACAATTGGTTTGACCTGAACTGAATCCGGAAAATTTCAGAATTTTTCAGCAAATTGACAAAGTGCGTTTTGGGTCAAAGAGAACATTTCCTCTTGAAGCGCTAGATTCGCCAGGGGATTTTGGCACTAGTCCCAAAACAGACAGAGGAGGAAGAGCCATACCTTATAACTTTTAGCCCAGTGGTCAGGGGAATCAACCAAGCATGTGGGGAGCTCAGGTTCAATTCCCCACTCAGCTTGATGTAGAGCAAGGACTTGAACTTGGGTCTCCCACCTCCCAGGTGAATGCCCTAACCACCTGGCTATAAACTATTCTGGGGTGGGTTATTCTTAATCTCTCCTGATGAAGCTGTTCCGCTTTGTATGAAATACTTGAATAGTCATTGGGTGAGAAAGAGAATGATGATAGCCTAGTGGTTAGTGAACTCTCTTACGAGGTAGAAGGCCCACATCCCAGACCCTGCTCTACTAAATATTTAAATTATTTATACTAAGTGGAAGAGCTTTAACAAAAGAGATTGAGAAAGACCTGCCCCAAAATACTACATTGCCCAGTGGTTAGGGTGCCCTCTGGGGAGGTAAAAGACCCAAGTTCAAATCCCTGGTCTATATCGGGGCGGGGGGCGGAAATGAACCCAGGAGAGTACCCTAACTACTGAGCTGAACGTTTAAAGGGGCACTCTCAGCAGCACCACCTCCTCCCCATTTTGTAAATAGTGCAGAAGTCCCCTTGTGAATCAAGCACACACGCACACACAAAATTGGCCAAAACTATTCAGCGAATTTGCAAATAGTTTTCAACCAACCAAAACTGCATTTTTCAAATAAACTATTTGACTGGGGCAAAAAAAACAAAAAAAAACAAAAAACAAAGGCCCAGCTCTAACCCAGCACTAAGCCAACTATTTCTATCTACCTATAAGCTGCCCAAGTCCTGCTTCCCAGCTGAATGATAACTCTGCATGACGCTTTGCCATTCAGGATCAGAAAAGCCAACATTATCGGAAGATCATATCTCCTCTATTTTTATCTTTGCACCCTTTTCCTTGCAGCAAACAATGACAAGCGGTTGAGGAACAATACAATGGATACCAGCAGAAAGTTTGGTTTGGCAGGAGCTTTCTTCTATAACACAGCAAATCCCCACCCAGGGGATCTGTCTCAATGAGTTAACATTTATCTTACTTAATTCAGTGTGAGCTAAGGTTAAATGAGGACAGGCCCGTGCTTTTACAGATGAAAACAGGCGGGCGATTTTTTCCTCCTAGCATGCTGTAACCTTCACAACAGTGTTCTTGATGCAGTCTGCAGGACTATACAACTACAAACAGCTGTAAATGGGCTCACTGTAGGCTAGCTTTTGTGGAGTTTAGATTCTAGTTTTGATTTGCATGCTGCTATGTAAGGTGCCCGTTCAGTAATCAAACTTGGGTGGCTAAGATAAGGCAACTAAGTCTGCATTTGGGTACTTGGGTCTCTAAATATCAATTTTAGGTACCTAGGTGTGGATGCAAGTGGCCCAAATTGGGCATTCTAATCCAGGCACCCAAGACTGCAAATTGGACTCACAGGCTTCATTCACCACTGCCATACGTGAGTGCCACTCATTTGAAGCTGAAAGTGGTGACATTGGCTCATAGTATTAATTACTGATGGCTTGATTGTCTGGACTAACGTATTTAAGCCGGCACATACAAATTTCCTATCCTCTTCAATACTGCAGGCAGCCAACAGGAACTCTTGTATAGTACAGAGGCATGCAAGCTTTAAGGCCATGAGAGACTGCACGTGGTACAGAACGTTTCCTGACTTGCCCCCAACAGAATGACAAAAGGTACTTGCTAATGAATGGGTACCACATAACCCAGCACCTTTTATTGTCTGTGTATATGGTAACCAGAATGAGAACTTATCTGAAAACATCACCATCACCAAGTGAATTGTAGTGAAGGAGTCAATTAAGGAGACTGTTTATCTGGAAAGGGACAATTGAAGAGCCCACATTAATAGGAATTTTTCCATCGCACAACTAAGCCATTTGGATGATCTCCAACATTTGCCTTTGAAATGCTCATGTTATGTTGTGAAGCTAAATGGATAATGCAAAACACATCTAATTAGAATAGCTCACTTACTTCCTCAATAGCGAACAGGGAAAATCCCTTAAACTGAATTCTTCTTGCTAAAAGACCCGTAACCAAGAAGCTATTCTGTAGCCTTCTTATGACAAACAGCACTTGATTAACGACTTCATCTTTTCCAAAAGCCTCCATACTAAAACTGTCTCTCAAACTGTCAGGCATCTGTCACTTAAAACGTACCATTTCAAAATGCAATGTATTTGTATTACAAAGATGTCTGGTCAGGTTTAAAACAAGCCTATTCAAAAGGCTTTGCAAACTGTGTATTTATTCAATTTATTCGTTACCTTCTAGTTGGTTGTCAAATGAACTGACTCCCAGAATATATAGATTCATAGATTCTAGGACTGGAAGGGACATCGAGAGGTCATCAAGTCCAGTCCCCTGCCCTCATGGCAGGACCAAATACTGACTAGACCATCCCTGATAGACATTTATCTAACCTACTTTTAAATATCTCCAGAGATGGAGATTCCACAACCTCCCTAGGCAATTTATTCCAGTGTT